CGTGCAGCTTTCCGATCACACTTTATCGGCGCTCAAATTTGCCTCATTCCGAAAGAATCGATTACCAACATTGTGCAAAAGGACGAAGAGACTGTTAAAGACTATGTGGCTCGGTTCAACGATCGATTTCAGAACATGGAGCCTTGTCACCCTGAAACTTTGTTAGTAACTGCTATTGCTGGATTGAAGCCCAACTCAATGTTTCGTTGGACCTTGTGCCAAAATAAACCTGCTACGTTTCAAGAGTTTCTTGTGCGATCTCAACAATTTATTATTGCCGAAGAATCGATGTCGGTTCCCAGCTTCAACTTCTCGGTGAAAGAAAACAAGTCTGAACCGGACGCTAAAAAGAAGAACAAAAAGAACTTTGGGAAAGTACAGTTTCGGAACTCCTCCAAAGGATATGAAAATACTCCAGAGTCTCGGGCTGCTCGTGATCAATATTCGGATAACGTCAGGACAGGTTATCACGCCGTTTATTCCGCCGGAGCAGCTACCATATATGAAGAACTGAAAGGAAAAGGGATTATCCCAGACCCGAGGCCTGTGAGAACTCCTGAAGACAAGTTGGACAAAACTCGGTAATACGCATACCATAAGTCTCCCGAACACAATACAGATGAGTGTCTCGGTCTTTTGCCGGCACTCTTGCGCTTAATCGGACAACCTCAACTTCAAAAGTTTCGAAATTTTGACAACCGTCGGAAAGGGAGGCCTTTGGATGTTTCAGACGATGAAGATGAAGATAACCGACCCGCTAACTAGAAAAGAGCTCGCGCGAATGATAAAGAGGTCTTCACGTTTTCCACTCATGTCGGAACCTCGACTGACAACTGCAGGAAATCCCGGACACATGACGCCTTAGGTTCTTCACATTGCATACCTCGAGTCAACTCCAATAACAAACAGTTAGATACATCCCGACGTAAAGTCAAAGCTTATGCTCGAGAGGCACAGAACGCCGAGAAACGAGTCATGAACGTTGACCTTCGAGATACTATTAACAAACGAAATTGTCCTATCACATTCAGTATCGAAGATGCCAATTTATTTGCTCATACTCATTCCGACGCTCTTATTATAACAGCCCCGATTGGAGGGATTCCTGTCCATCGGATTTTGGTCGACACGGGGGCCTATTCAAGTATTTTGATGCTTCGCACGTTCAAAAAATTGGGTTTGGACCCAGCAGACATTAGGCCGTGTAACGACCAAATTCAAGGTTTTAATGGAAGTATTTCTTGTCCTGTTGGCGAAATATTGCTTCCTATTCGGTTTGGTGGCTTTGGACCAAAATCCAAGATCATTATGGAAACTTTCAAAGTTCTAGATGTCCAGAATGAATATAATGTTGTAATAGGGCGAACTGCGCTTTATAAACTTCGTGCTGCTGTGTCAATTTTTCATTATGCCTTGAAGTTTCCCACCATTGAAGGAGAAGGCACTCATTACGGAGATCAACGAGAAGCCCGAAGTCTGATGTTGCTCTCAACCTCGTGTAGCTTTCATATGATTGAAGAGCAGGATGTTGATAACCCCGTTGAGCCAAATAATTCAACTTCTGATGTTGAAAAAACTGATCAGTCCATCCCGAATACCGACATACCTCAAGCGGATACCGACTTGCCGCTTATTAATACCGACATCCCTATGACGTCGGTTTTGCCTAGAACATTAACTGAAGTCCTTGATCAAGAACAACCTTTGCATGAAGGTGACATAGCGATGCATGAGGAGATAGATCCACGGATGCAGTTTAAAGATGGGAATCGTCATGTCCGTGCAGAGCCAGTTGAAGATGTCGAAGCCATTTACGTGGATGGATCGACTCAGCAAAAACCGCTGCGCATCGGGAATAATCTTCAAGAACCCATTCGATCAAATTTAATTCAATTCCTACAGTTGAATTCTGATGTGTTCGCCTGGAAGCATGAAGATATGAAAGGGATTGACCCGCAAAAAGCATGTCATCGCTTGAATATGGATAAAACTGTCAAGCCGGTCATCCAGAAACGCCGGAAATTTGGCCCGGATCGCCAGAAGGCCCTTGAAGAGGAAGTAAATAAGCTCATAGACAATAAATTTGTTAAAGAAGCCAAGTACCCGACGTGGATATCAAATCCTGTCTTGGTCAAGAAAGCCACCGGCCTTTGGCGTCTGTGCATAGATTTTTCAGATTTGAATCAAGCATGCCCGAAGGACAGCTACTCCATTCAACACATTGATTACATGGTAGACGCTACATTGGGACATCAACTTATGAGTTTCTTGGATGCCTATTCAGGCTATAATCAAATTCCTATGCACCCTGATGACTCTGAACATACCTCGTTCTACTCAGCTCGAGGCCTCTATTGCTATGTCATGATGACTTTCGGACTGAAGAATGCGGGGGCCACGTATCAGAGGTTAGTCAATAAGATGTTTGCTCGCTTGATCGGCCATACGATGGAAGTTTATGTAGACGACATGTTAGTAAAGTCGGAACAGGCCTCTGATCACATCACCCACCTTTCCGAAGTCTTCGGTATACTCCGAGAATATTCCATGGTGCTTAACCCCAACAAGTGTACTTTCGGAGTTGGGTCAGGGAAGTTTCTAGGATACATGGTGATTCAGCGAGGGATCGAAGCCAATCCCACCAAGATTCAAGCTATACTTGACTTAGCTCCCCCGGCATCTATCAAAGGTGTCCAAGCTTTAACCGGTCGACTGGCAGCCCTTAATCGGTTCATTTCAAAGTATACAGATCATTGCAAGCCATTCTTTGACGCTATCAAAAAGAAGAAACCGTTCGAATGGACCACAGAATGTCAGTATGCTTTTAACAACATTAAAGACGTTCTCTTACGGTTACCGACGTTGCAGAAACCACTTCCTGATGAACCTCTCTATCTGTATCTCGGTGTAAGTGACGTTGCCGTTAGTGTTGTTCTAATACGACAAGATGGGCTTCAACAGTTTCTGGTGTATTATGTTAGCAAGGCCTTACATGACGCTGAATTGCGATATCCGCATATGGAGAAGTTAGCCTTTGCCCTGGTCATCGCTGCACGGAAGCTGCGCCCGTATTTTCTAGAGCATTCAATTATTGTGTTTACGACATACCCTCTCCGACAAGTTCTCCACCGACCTGACACGTCGGGAAGAATGATTAAGTGGGCAATAGAATTGGGGCAGTTTGATATTCAGTACCGACCACGAACCGCTATCAAAGCTCAAGTGCTGTCTGATTTCATTGCTGAATTTACTCCCACTGTCAATACATCTATTGAAGATCCGACATGGACTCTCTACATTGACGGATCGTCCACCGCTATATGAGCTGGAGGAGGGATCGTCTTAGTTAGTCCTGATCAACAAGTGTTTTGCTACTCTGTGGCATTCACCTTCCCGGCCACTAACAACGAAGCCGAGTATGAGGCCCTTTTATCAGGTCTGCACTTTGCTGAATCCATGAATGTCTCCTCTTTCCGAATATTTTCCGACTCTCAGTTACTAGTCAGCCATATTAATGGTACTTACGAAGTTAAAGAACCACGGTTGTTGCCTTATTTTGATCTCGTAAAAAAGAAGCTGACACAGTTTAAAGTGACGTTGGAGCATATACCTCGGTCATTCAACATTCAATCAGATGCCCTTTCACGTTTGGCCTCGTCAACTGACTTGAATAATGTCGAGTTCGTACAAGTTACTCAACAGGCGACTTCATTAACAGCTACTACCGACGTTGTCATGGTTGACGCTGCCCTATCAATTTCAAATCCGACGTGGATGAACCCGATTGTCAACTATCTTCAAACCGGGGCCTTACCTGCAGACCCGAAAGAAGCCCGCACCCTTCGTGTTCGTGCCGCTCATTTCACCATTGATCAAGGGACGTTATATAAGCAAGGGTACTCTACTCCGTTGCTTAAATGTCTGTCAGAGACTGACGCTCAACGAGTTCTTCAAGAAGTACACGAAGGAGTCTGTGGTACTCACCAGGGAGCTCAAGCTTTGTCTCACAAGATCCTCCGTCAAGGTTATTACTGGCCGACTATTCGAAAAGATGCCGCAGACTGGGTCCGACGATGTCACAAGTGTCAGATATTTGCTCCTAACGTGAACCAACATCCTGAACTCCTCAACTCGATATATGGCCTATGGCCGTTTGCAAAATGGGGAATTGATTTGATCGGCCCACTTCCTACAACAAAAGGGGGTGTTCGATTTGCGATATTGGCCGCTGATTACTTTACCAAATGGGTAGAGGCTGACCCTCTTGCAACTATAACAGAACATAAGATGATCGATTTTGTATGGAAATTAATTGTTTGTCGGTTTGGGATTCCGAACTCTATCATAACCGACAACGGTCGTCAGTTTGAAGGCAAGCGATTTGAAAGTTTTTGTGAAGATTACGGTATCAAACATTTCTTCTCGTCACCTTATCACCCACAAGCAAATGGACAGATAGAGGCCGTAAATAAGATTATCAAAAATGGTCTGAAAATTCGGCTTGAAGCTGCAAAGGGATCATGGCCTGACGAGTTATCTTATGTCATTTGGTCTTACCGAACGATGACGAGAAATTCAACTGGAGAAACTCTATTTTCGTTGGCTTACGGAACTGAAGCTGTTATACCGGTTGAACTTGCTTCTCCGACATATCGGGTCACTCACTTTTCTGAAGAAACCAACTCGGCCAACTTGAAAACCAGTCTCGATTTGGTCGATGAGTTATGGGCTGATGCTGAAACTCGAAATGCCGCTTATAAACGACGTAGTGAAAAGTATACCAACTCAAGACTTAAGCCACGTTCATTTGTCAAGGGAGACTTCGTGCTGAAAAGAATCACCGGGGCCAATATCGGCCCATTACAACCAAAGTGGGAAGGACCCTTTAAAGTAAATCGTCCGATTTCTAATGGCACTTACCGACTTGAAACATTAGACGGTGTTCCTCTTCCATATCCCTGGCATACGACTCATCTGAAGAAGTATTATCAGTGAGCTATCAAAGTTCTGCTCTTGACCTGTGAAAAGTTTTTGCCCTACTCCTGTACAAGAACCATGTTTTGCTATCAATAAAATTTGTGTGACGAACCTCTATAATTTGTTCGACCACTCAGACCACAATAAATCGGTCCTCGTCGCTAAGGCTAAACGTGTTTCATGCCCTGAAGATGGTATGACCTAGCCAAACGCGACAAAGCCGGATACTTCCAAGCCCTGAAGATGGTTTGGGGAGGCTTATGCTCTTTAATATCAAATCCCGACGTTGATTTGATGAGCTGACAATAAAATTCTTAAGTTCTTTGAGACATTCAAGGACTTTCACAATAAATGCTTCCAATGAAAGCATGTTTGTTGTAACTTGTTCTGATAAAATTATTGATGTCGGAAATACCGTAAGATTATACCAACGTCAATAGTTCGTCTAAATTATCACATTAATGTTATGTCGGGAATTGTAGTTTAACAAACATTTATTCACTTTTTCCGACATACTTTGACTCGTTACAATGATAAGTCACATTGAAACATTCATAAACCATCAAACATTAATATTCCATTCCAAAATCAAATGTTATCGGTACATTCCAAGAAAAATAAACAAACGACAAAATAAATAAAAAACATTAAGTTTCTTTGGTCCCCGACGACGACGCCCCTCCAGACTGAGGAATTCCGACATCAGCCTTGTCCTTATCAACAACATCCATATGATCTATTAATCTCTGGCTCAAGCGCTGAATTACGTTCTCTTCCTTCTCTTCCAATGCGCGGACGATATCACTTTCCTTGATCACGACGACATCATCATTTTCATGCAGCACACGGTCGTCATCAGAAGGAGCTGGATCAGTTACCCATCCTTTAGCCTTGGCGTCATCCTCCGCCACCTTTCTAGAAGCAAAACTGATAATCGCGCCCAACAGCTACTCATCAGACAGGCCCTCAAATGTTTCTGTAACAAAGGCCTCGGCGATCGTCTCCACACATATGTTAGCCATTTCAGGCTTCTTGGCCTTTTCCACCTCGAGGACCATGTCGACAAATGACTGACGGATCTTTGCCTTGCGCTCCTCCGACAAGGGTATCAAATCCAATTCCAACATCCGACTTTCTTTCTGTTTTAGAAGTCGATCGGCGAAGTCTCTTTCATCCTGATCGGCCGGAATATGGGCATTCTTCATTTCAGGATTAAAGCCATGCTTCTCCATTTTATGAAGAAGGAAGATACGCAATTCGTCCATAGTGTATACGCCGCTTTCTACTCTATCGATCACCCAACGCAAAGCTAAGGCAGCATTCAATTCCAATTCCCATTCCGTTACTGCGTTGACATTAGATGCGTTGTCGGACTCGGCCACCGATTTCTTCCCGATTTCGATACCCTCCTGGAATTTGAGCTCAGCTGTGGTTGTCATCTCTTGTCGGAGTTTACCCATAGCAACTTCATGAGCCTCGCGACATCGGATTAGCTCAGCATCCTTATCAGATCGGTCCTTCCGGACAGCTTGGAGCTCGGCCTTCAACTTCGTGAGCTGCTCATCCTTCTCCTTGGCTACCTCAGCAACTTTAGCCAGTTGAATCGACAAGAGATCGTGGGCCAGTAATAGATTCTCCTTTTCAGTCTTAAGAGCGCTCACTTCGGTTTGTGCTGTTTTCAGCTGGGCATCCTTTTCTGACATCAACGCTTCATAGCGAGACTTCTCGTCCTCTAAGGAAGCAATCGCACCTTCCTTCAAGCTCAGCTCGTGCTGCTTCTCGTCTAATTCGTGCGCTCTTCCCCGATAGCTCTCCTCGGCAGCAATAAAGCTAACCAGCACCCGTCCTAAGCAACCTCGGGCATAGCTGAACTTTTGATCATCAGGCAGGGATGCAATTCCGGCGTGAGTCTTCGGGTCCCACGACATCAAAGGGACTTTCGCCGCCTTAACCACTTCATCGGGGAACCGCTGGTTATTTGTGATTTTTGGCTCGACGACTGTCTGAAACATCGAAAACCAAGGATCGAACACGTCCTCCGGCAGCGTCAGCTCCGCCGCTTTCTACTCATTAATTTTGAGGAAGGAATCCTTCAGAATGATTTCGGGTCCTTCCTCCTTATCCTTGCCGACGCCAGTATCTTGCTTCTTCTTCATCCTTTCTGCCACGTGAGACACGCTGGATCTTTTATGACGATGAACCACTGATACGTCGGACTCTCCTGGCACCTCTTGAGAGGTTTCTAGATCAATCACAGGCTCATCAACCGACGCCATTACTTGCTGCAGTGGCGCCACCTCAAGTGGCGGGACGTCGGTAACTACTGGTTCGTTCACAATCGCCGGCGTAGGCTCTACCCTTGTTGACGATGGCTCACCGACAGCACTCTGAGATCGGTTGGGGTTTTTCTTCCATGCCTTGAGGAGGTTCATGCGTCCAGCCATTTCGGTTGATCAAAGATTTCTGTTTTTTCCGACTTTGTTCTTTAAGTCGAAGTTCGGATTACGTCTCCGGTGTTCTTCTGCTTCTGCGGGATCTCCGAAACCAAAATACCCCAGCAATGGATAATAAACTGTTGCAGCAAAGTCAAAGTTAGACCGATTTCGTTACTACGAACAATGCTACGAGATAAGCGAAGAAGATTACCTGGTAAAAATGAAGAATCAAGTATCCCGGGAGATAAACCAGCCAACTCTAAATGGGAATCTTTCACGAGTCGCTGATATCGTCGTTTATTGGGAGACACTTCAAACAATTTGTCCACTCGGTCGTATAGTAGACCCTCGAACTTGGGCTCTCTCTTCCCGGTTGGTTTTGCTACAAGGTCACAAAAGTCCACCTGTTAGCGACAACAAAAGACAAAATATTAATAACCGAAGTGAAGAAAATGGTAACAACTTACAATAACCAGATTTAATAGCCATTGGGATGCTAGTCCCGTCGGCAAGAAGATCATTAGCGAAGTCGGGGAACTGCCAATCTCCACCGACCCACAACCACTCCTCTTGGGAGCCATGTAATGTGTCGGGGACCTCCATTATTAATTCGCCGACCTTTACCCTTGGTTGGGGTTTACCGACAATAGAAAAAGTGAGAAGTGGGTCCGACACTTGTCTATCTGGGCTCTTCCTAAATGTGAACATGCTCCTCATGTCTTTCGCCGACGGTAGATCCCACTTCTTTTCGGCGAAAAGTACCAGCAGTCCAATAATTCGCTTCCATGAATTTGGAGCGATTTGACATAT